TTCACTCAGCCGCTGGCGGGCCCAGGCCCCGCAGATCCAGCTGCCTGGTCCATTTCTCTGCATAACCGCTGGGGGCGGGGCTTCTAGGATGTCCCCATGACTGTGCCACCAGGACCAAGGGCCCAGAGCTCCCCCAGAATCTGTCCCTGGGCCCAGGTGGGTCTACCAGATCCACATGGAGAGGGCCCGCAGGGTGCTCACCTGCAGCCTTGCGCCTCACGGAGCCATTGGTGCGCACCCACCCTGGAGCCTGGGAGCTACGCCCCAGCCACCCTGCGCTTGGAGCAAAGAGCAGTGACGCCTTGCCCTGACGTCACCCCTGCCACCCTCCCACCTGGCCTCCTTCCCCCCCTTCCGCCCTGGATGCCTGCAGGCATTCTATCAATAGTAAACCACCTCGGACCCCCATCAGCCTCTGCAGAACAGATGAGGAAACTGAGGCAGGGCCCAGAGGGACACAGAGAGCCCGTCCCCTGGGTGACCGAGCAGAATTGGTGAAGAGGCCAGTTACAAGCTATGGATGTGTTTAGGGGAGCCCTTAGGAGGGGCCTGGGTGCCAGGGTGCTTGCTGCCTGTCCTTGGACCCCGGAGTATGGTTGTTTGGGGAGGGTCACCCAGAATCTTCCCTTGTTGGGGACACGGAGGGTGACTCTCACCCTGATCCTGGCTGGACATGCTCCGCTGGATCCTACCAGGAGCTCCCGGCTCCCAATGGCCCTTCCTGTCCCTGCCTCCTGCCTCCTGCCTCCGCCAGGGAATGGCCAGCATCAGCAGCAGACAGCTTCTGAGAGCATCCCGGCCACGGCCACTTCGAGTCAGATTTCCTAGGCCCGAGGCAGACTTTTGTCTTCTCCCAGACTCCTCCCCTTCCCATACGGCCCCTCCCCTGGCCCACTTCCTTCTTTCGTTTCCCACCCTTAGTTCCAGCACAGAGATTTCTAGAAAGTGTAGCTCACAAAATTCCTTCTGGGGGAGGGTCCTGGCTGCCCACAGCGCTCTGAGGACTGAAGGGGCGGTGGGCAGAGCGGCTGCCTGAGAGGCTGTGGCATTTCTGCACTCGGGCCGCTCTGCGCCTGATCTGGTGAGATTCCTGTGTGGAGGCTGCAGGGGGGCCGGGCTGGGACATGGTGAGGAGCATCTGCTCTTACCCACTGGGCTGTTGGGTGGGACAGAGGGCAGGGGAGGGCCTTCCCACCGTGTCCCTCAGAGCCTTGCTCACCTGACGCTCACCTCTTGGAAGGGACAGGGTGAGGTCAGAGGAACGGTGCCCAAGGCCTATGGGCTCGCTGGGCGGAAAGGGTGGCCTCCTGCAGAGACTCCTGCTGTGCTGTGTGTGCTGTGTGTGTATGCGCGCTGTGTGCGCTGTGTGTGCTATGTGTGTGTGTGTGTGTGTGCGCTGTGTGCGCTGTGTGTGCTGTGTGTGCTCTGTGTGTGTGTGTGTGCGCTGTGTGTGCTGTGTGCTCTGTGTGTGCTGAGTGTGCTGTGCTGTGTGTGTATGCGCGCTGTGTGCGCTGTGTGTGCTATGTGTGTGTGTGTGTGTGTGTGCGCTGTGTGCGCTGTGTGTGCTGTGTGTGCGCTCTGTGTGTGTGTGTGCGCTGTGTGTGCTATGTGTGTGTGTGTGTGCGCTGTGTGTGCTGTGTGCTCTGTGTGTGCTGAGTGTGCTGTGCTGTGTGTGTATGCGCGCTGTGTGCGCTGTGTGTGCTATGTGTGTGTGTGTGTGTGTGTGTGCGCTGTGTGCGCTGTGTGCGCTGTGTGTGCTGTGTGTGCTGTGTGTGTGCGCTGTGTGTGTGTGTGCGCTGTGTGTGCTGTGTGCTCTGTGTGTGCTGAGTGTGCTGTGCTGTGTGTGTATGCGCGCTGTGTGCGCTGTGTGTGCTATGTGTGTGTGTGTGTGTGTGTGTGCGCTGTGTGCGCTGTGTGCGCTGTGTGTGCTGTGTGTGCTGTGTGTGTGCGCTGTGTGTGTGTGTGCGCTGTGTGTGCTGTGTGTGCTGTGTGTGCTGTGTGCGCTGTGTGCGCTGTGTGCGCTGTGTGTGCTGTGTGTGCGCGCTGTGTGTGTGTGCGCTGTGTGTGCTATGTGTGTGTGTGTGTGTGTGCGCTGTGTGTGCTGTGTGCTCTGTGTGTGCTGAGTGTGCTGTGCTGTGTGTGTATGCGCGCTGTGTGCGCTGTGTGTGCTATGTGTGTGTGTGTGTGTGTGTGTGCGCTGTGTGCGCTGTGTGCGCTGTGTGTGCTGTGTGTGCTGTGTGTGCGCGCTGTGTGTGTGTGCGCTGTGTGTGCTATGTGTGTGTGTGTGTGTGTGCGCTGTGTGTGCTGTGTGCTCTGTGTGTGCTGAGTGTGCTGTGCTGTGTGTGTATGCGCGCTGTGTGCGCTGTGTGTGCTATGTGTGTGTGTGTGTGTGTGTGTGCGCTGTGTGCGCTGTGTGCGCTGTGTGTGCTGTGTGTGCTGTGTGTGTGCGCTGTGTGTGTGTGTGCGCTGTGTGTGCTATGTGTGTGTGTGTGTGTGTGTGCGCTGTGTGCGCTGTGTGCGCTGTGTGTGCTGTGTGTGCTGTGTGTGTGCGCTGTGTGTGTGTGTGCGCTGTGTGTGCTGTGTGTGCTGTGTGTGCTGTGTGCGCTGTGTGCGCTGTGTGCGCTGTGTGTGCTGTGTGTGCGCGCTGTGTGTGTGTGCGCTGTGTGTGCTATGTGTGTGTGTGTGTGTGTGCGCTGTGTGTGCTGTGTGCTCTGTGTGTGCTGAGTGTGCTGTGCTGTGTGTGTATGCGCGCTGTGTGCGCTGTGTGTGCTATGTGTGTGTGTGTGTGTGTGCGCTGTGTGCGCTGTGTGCGCTGTGTGTGCTGTGTGTGCTGTGTGTGCGCGCTGTGTGTGTGTGCGCTGTGTGTGCTATGTGTGTGTGTGTGTGTGTGCGCTGTGTGTGCTGTGTGCTCTGTGTGTGCTGAGTGTGCTGTGCTGTGTGTGTATGCGCGCTGTGTGCGCTGTGTGTGCTATGTGTGTGTGTGTGTGTGTGTGTGTGCGCTGTGTGCGCTGTGTGCGCTGTGTGTGCTGTGTGTGCTGTGTGTGTGCGCTGTGTGTGTGTGTGCGCTGTGTGTGCTATGTGTGTGTGTGCGCGCGCTGTGTGTGCTGTGTGTGCTGTGTGCGCTGTGTGTGCTGTGTGTGCTGTGTGTGCTGTGTGTGCGCGCTGTGTGTGTGTGTGCGCTGTGTGTGCTATGTGTGTGTGTGTGTGTGTGCGCTGTGTGTGCTGTGTGCTCTGTGTGTGCTGAGTGTGCTGTGCTGTGTGTGTATGCGCGCTGTGTGCGCTGTGTGTGCTATGTGTGTGTGTGTGTGCGCTGTGTGCGCTGTGTGCGCTGTGTGTGCTGTGTGTGCTGTGTGTGCTGTGTGTGTGCGCTGTGTGTGCTATGTGTGTGTGCGTGCTGTGTGTGCTGTGCTGTGTGCTCTGTGTGTGCTGAGTGTGCTGTGCTGTGTGTGCTGTGTGTGCTGTGTGTGCTGTGCTGTGTGTGTTGAGTGTGCGTGCTGTGTGTGCTGTGCTGTGTGCTCTGTGTGTGCTGAGTGTGCTGTGCTGTGTGTGCTGTGTGTACTGTGTGTGCTGTGCTGTGTGTGTTGAGTGTGTGTGCTGTGTGTGCTGTGTGTGCTGTGCTGTGTGTGCTGAGTGTGCTGAGTGTGCTGTGCTGTGTGCTCTGTGTGTGCTGAGTGTGCTGTGCTGTGTGTGCTGTGTGTGCTGTGCTGTGTGTGCTGAGTGTGCTGTGTGCTCTGTGTGTGCTGTGCTGTGTGCTCTGTGTGTGCTGAGTGTGCTGTGCTGTGTATGCTGAGTGTGCTGTGTGTGCTGTGTGTGCTGTGCTATGTGCTCTGTGTGTGCTGAGTGTGCTGTGCTGTGTGTGCTGAGTGTGCTGTGTGTGCTGTGTGCGCAGTGTGTGCTGTGTGTGCTATGCTGTGTGTGCTGTGTGTGCTATGCTGTGTGCTCTGTGTGTGCTGAGTGTGCTGTGCTGTGTGTGCTGAGTGTGCTGTGTTTGTGTGTGTGTGTGTGTGCTGTGCTGAGTGTGCTGTGTGTGCTGTGAGTGCTGTGCTGTGTGTGCTGTGTGTGCTGAGTGTGCTGTGCTGTGTGTGCTGTGTGTGCTGTGCTGTGTGTGCTGAGTGTGCTGTGCTGTGTGTGCTGTGTGTGCTGTGCTGTGTGTGCTGAGTGTGCTGTGCTGTGTGTGCTGTGCACTGTGTGTGCTGTGTGTGTGTGTGTGTGCTGTGCTGTGTGTGCTGAGTGTGCTGTGCTGTGTGTGCTGTGTGTGCTGTGCTGTGTGTGCTGAGTATGCTGTGCTGTGTGTGCTGTGCGCTGTGTGTGCTGTGCTGTGTGTGCTGTGCTCTGTATGCTGTGTGCTATTCTCTGTGCTATGCTCTGTGCTCTGTGTGCTGCTTGGGGACCGGGGCAGGTATATTGTAAATCAGAAGATGCCTTGATCAATAAGCCAAACTTATTTGGAGTCCTGTTCATTTCCGCTAGCGCTAGCGGGTCCAGAGGGCTCTTGCCTCTCAAATTCTGGGGCCCAGTATGGTGGAAGTCTTTCCAATTTATATGTTTTTCAGCTCTTTGTTTTCCAAATGTGGAATGAGACCTCCGGACCTTCTGAGAAAAAAGTCCTGTTTGCTGGGACAGGCCGAGAGACCACATCTCAAGGCCTGACCTGGCGCCAGCACTGACAGCTCTGTCTGGGGCATAGTTTATGGCCTGTCTGGAATGGGAGCAGTCTTATTTTCCCTATTATTTAAGCAAGCAAGCGTTTACAGAAGCAAGAATAGCAGGGTTGAAATTTTAAACAGCAGTTTTTTACCCAAGATGGAGATTACTATGCTTCAGGGCCAGCTGTTAGGGCATCGCAGGGGTCGTGTGTGGCTGCCCAGGCTGGGTGCTGCCGGTGGTGGACCCGGTTCCACCTTTACGGCTGGCTGGCCTTGTCTTTCTGCAGAATGAGCCTGTCCTGATCTCTCGCAGCCCCGGGTGGATTGAGCAGAAGCAGCTCAGGGGCAGCGCCTATGGATTCCGGTTCCGAGGAGAAAGGGGCGGCCGTGGCCGTCCCCCCGCTGAAGCCCAGCGAGAAGTTCCACCTGTTCGTCAGCTACAGCAGCATGGACGCCACGTGGACCCATGGGCTCATCGGCCGCCTGGAGGCCGACCACGCCGGGCTGCGCGTCTGCCTGCACGAGCGGGACTTCACCCCCGGCAGGAACATCCTGCAGAACATGGCTGAGTGCATCCACCAGAGCCAGAAGGTGCTGCTGGTGCTGAGCCAGGACTTTGTGCAGAGCAGGTGGTGCCTCCTTGAGGCCGACCTGTCCCTCTTCGGCTACTGCCTGGAGAGGAAGCCGGTCATCCCCGTCCTGCTGCGGCCCTGCCAGGTCCCTCTGCACCTCAGCCACCTCACCTACCTGGAGGCCAGGGACAGCCGCTTTTACAGCAAGGTGGCGCAGCTGCTGTGCACGCCCAGCCACTGCATGGCGCGCTCCCTGCCCGGCCCGCGCCCCGGCCCTTCTTTCTACAGCGGGAAGACCCTCCTGACCCTGAACTGTGTCAACAGGGACAGCCTGCCCTCGTGGAAGGTGGGGACCTTCAGCACCCTGAGCGTCCCGGACCCCTTGAAGGAGGTGTTGCCGGACCCCGAGGTGTACAAGCACGCGGTGGGCATCCTGAACGGGGTGCAGTCCCCCAGGTCCTGCCTCCGCTACCTGTGTTGCAGGATCCTGCTCAGCATCTTCCTCATCCTTCTCTCCGTGATCTCCATCTTTTTACTTGTGATATTTGGGATCATTGAAATTATCAGGATTCAGGAAAATTACAACAGAGCCTTCCTGCTGATCGCCGCCAACGTGTTCCTCTGCCTCCTCCCCGTGGTCCTCGCGGTGAACAGTCTGTGCTGGTTCAGGAGGTTTTCCAGGCGGAAGATGCGGGAGGTGGGCCTCCGGGTGGGGGAGGCCAACCTGCTGCTGGCGCCGCACTCGGTGCTGATGGGCTGCGAGACCCTGAACCAGCTGTCCTTCGTGTTCGTGCAGCTGGAGGAGTGCCGGCGGACCTTCCTGCAGGCCCCCGAGGGCGACGGCGAGGCCCTGTTCCGGGAGGCCCTGTTGCGGTTCTCCTGCGCCTACGCGTGCTGCCTGGTGCAGGCGCACTTCCCGCACTGCGAGGCCGCCCCGGCCGCCCGGGGCCACCTGGAGCCCGGCCTGTGCTTCTGCCAGTATGTCTCTGTGCAGCTGGAGAGGGGCTAGCCCCCTGGAGGCGGGAGGGCCTGGTGTGGACATCCAGCGCCCCTCGGCCGGCGCCGTGGCCATGGCCGCTGTGAGACCTGCCTGGTGCACGGCCTCCCCCTCCCCGCCCCGGTTAGCTGTGCCAAGCAGGGCAGCCTGCACTGCCCACTCTGAGGACAGAGGTGACTGCTGTCCACCCGCCAGGCCTGAGCCTGGGGTCCTGCTCTGTCCCAAGAGATCGGGGAGGGGGACTTTGGTCAGACTACCTGAGAGGAGGCCAGGGAAGAAGTGTGTTCGCCTAGGACCCCACAGGGGCCCCCAGGACTGGCCCACCCCCCGGGGAGACAGGCACTGGCCCGCTCGGGATGTCCGGTTAGGGTCCAGGGGCCAGAGCAGATGCAGCTCCTCCAGGCTCTGCCCCTTGTTCTGGGACACGGAGATGGGAACAGGTCAACCCCTATGGACTTGGAAACACACACACACACACACACACCACACACACCACACACACCACACACACACAAATACAGACACAAACACACACAGACACACACACACATATAAAGATACACACACACAGACCCATATGCACAAACACACACAGAAAGATTCAGACACACACACACACACACACACACACACACACACACGCTGAGATCCTGCCTTCAGTGCTGAGCGCCTGTAGGGTGCCAGCCACAGCCATCCTTGGCTGGAAATGGGAGACCCTGGTTGTACTGGGCACGGTCTGGTTGCTGCTCTGCATGGCCTTGGGCCCTGAAATAAAGACCCCAGCCTGTCTTCATCCTCCCTCTGGGTCTCAAGAGTGTGCAGGCGGGGGTGGAGAGGGGTGCAGCAGTGCCTCCCAGAACCGTGGCCAACCATGGCGGTGCCAGCATCCTCATCCTCGCATGTAACCTGCCAGTCACCCCACAGGAGCCGGCAGCAGCCCCGGGCGGTAACTAGGAACTGGTTCTGAGCGCTGGGGACAGAGCAGGGAGCAGAGCAGGCTGAGTCCTCCCTGAGCTGCTCCCCTTGGGAGAATGTGATCCCCACACCTTACGCTTCACTCCTCTCCCCAAGACCCCTCTCTGCTCTGGCCCAAGCACAGGCAGGACGCTGGAGGTGAGGGTTGGCCCCAGGATAACGTGGACCCTCTGTGAAAGAGCAGTGGGCCCTGACCAGACGCTGTTGGAGTAGCCTCTCGGCTCTGTGGTTTCGCTGCCTGCAGGGCCCTAGACTGACCCTCCCTCCCTCCCACAGGCACAGGTCCAGGCAGTAGCTGCAGAGTCACACGTGCAGCTCCTCATTGATCGCCCCAGCACCCTGGGGGTGACCTCCCTGTGGGATTGGGCACGTGGCTCTCAGCGTGACCCCAACATGCGACCCACAGTGTGTCCTGCCCAGTCCCACAGGAACCTGCAGTTCTAGGAGGTTCTGAGCACCGGGGCACAGGCATGGCGTCACCCCGCGAACTGGCCTCTTTCGGATCACCCCCTGCAGAGTCCCAGCTCCTCCTGCCTCCCTCAGCTGCTCCCTAGGCGCCTGGCGGAGAGCCTGCTCTGTGCTGGGGACCGACCCGACGGCGGACGTGTGTCTCTGGGGCAGCAACCTCCGTGAGGGGCTGTGATGACTGACCTGAGAGGAGGCTCCACCTCCTGGATCCCACCCCTGTGTCCCCAGGCCCCGCCCTGGTGAGCGTTGCCTGATGAAGAAGGGCGTGTAACCTTGAAACGACCTTGAGGACATGGGCATCTGAGGATTGCGCTTGTGATTTACTGTGAAGGGGTGGAGGGTGTGACAGGAAGTGGGGAAGCAGAGTGGGAGGTGACTAACATGTTGTACACGGTCCGACCCCTAAGAGGACGACCCCAAGGCCGGGGTTCCCCTGTGCCCCTGTCCCCCGTGCCGTCTCTCTCTGCGGGTCCAGATGAACACATGCAGTTTCTCACCTTTTCCTTGAACCCGTTCCCACCATCGCCGGGCCCCAGCCAGGGAGCCCATGCACCTGGGATGCACTCTGTGCGTAAGAACCGTGGGTTTGACGTTTGGCATTTTCTCTGACACGATTAAAGCCTCACCTGCTCTCACACCTTCTCCAAGAGACTCCTTTGGGCTGTGAGCTGGGCTCAAGGTCCCCGGGGCCACACCACACAGCTCAGCGGGGAGACCACGGGTGAGCCAACGGCGGGCTCGGTGCTGAAGAAGTAGTTGCCTCTCCATTGACTCAGAAAAAACTTTGGATAAATGAGAGCTAGAGAGCTGATACCGGCCAGACAGACAGGCACGTGAACGGGTTGACAGATAGTGATGGATAGACTGAGGGATGGATGGATGGATGGATGGACTGAGGGATGGATGGATGGATGGATGGACTGAGGGATGGATGGATGGACTGACGGACAGATGGATGGATGGATGGATGGATGGATGGATAGACTGAGGGATGGATGGATGGATGGATAGATAGACTGGGGAATGGATGGATGGATGGATGGATGGATGGATGGGTAGAATGAGGGATGGATGGATGGATGGATAATAGGAGCCCAACCATTAAGGACACTGTGAATGGCCAAGCCTTCCCTGACCCCGCAGGACCACCCTCCTCCTCACACCCCCAAGCTTGTTCCCACTCCACTACCCACCTCGCCTCCATTGTGCCCCGGTTTCCCTTGCAGCCCCCTTCTTTGGCACTACCCACTGTTCCTAGGCCGCCCAGACCCCGCCCCCCAGGCCTGGGAGCTTGGGGGGTGCAGGTGAAGGTGTTGCACTGTAGCCGCTGAGAGAAACCACAGGCTGAGAGAAACCACAGGCCCAGTCCGGGTGGCTTTCACCCCCAGGCCCTCCCACAGGGTCCCTCCCCTCCTGCCTTCCTGAGCCGCAGAGCCTAATGCCCAGCTCACCGTCCCACCCAGTTCTTCAGGGGGACATGGGGGGGTGTTGGGGGACAGGAACAGGCGGGAGTGACCAGGATGTTCAGGAGGCCAGGAGCCTGGTGGGTGTGACTCTTTATTTAGAGAAAAGCGGCAGACAGAGCGGAGGCTCCGGGCGGCAGGCGGCAGCGGGGTCCGGGGAACGGGGCACGACCACGTGGCGGGGCAGCATCTGGCGGGGCGATCACGGGGGCCGCGGGGGAAGGGGGTGCTGCGGAGAAGGGCAGAGGGGTGAGAGCGCCCACTTCCGTGGGGACCCCCTCGCCCGCCACGGATCCCCCCACCCCATACTGCGCGCACACACACACACACACACACACACACACACACACACACACATCCCGCCTCGGGCGCTCAGACGCGGTCCCAGCAGCCGCGTGGGGAGCGAGGACAGCGCCCCAGGCTGAGGCCGCCGGCGGAGTGGGTCCCGCAGGGGCGGGTGCCGGGAGGAGGGTCCCTGGCTCTGGGTGGGGTCCCAGGGGCTCACCTACGGGGCTTGGTGCTCCGGGCGGGAGGCGGGCTCACTGCGGGGCCGGGGCCGGGGGCGGGGCGCTCCCCTCCGCCTTGGGCGCCGCCGCCTCCTCCTCCTTCTCCTTCTCCTTCTGCTCCTTCTCCTCCTCCTTCTCCTTCTCCTTCTCCTCCTCCTTCTCCTTCTTCTTCTCCTTCTCCTCCTCCTTCTCTTTCTCCTTTTCCTTCTCCTCCCCGGCGCCCGCCGCCGGCTTCGCGGGGGCCTCGGTGGCGGCCGGGCCCGCCGGGGCGGACGCCTTGAGCCCCTCCTTGAACATGGGGTGGACCTTCCTCCAGACCAGGGGCGCCTCGGTGCCCGGCTTGCGGCTGAGCGGGTAGGCGCCCATGGCCGCCAGGATGCTGCGGTGGCGCTCGGGGCCCATCTCGGCGTAGTACATCTCCAGCGACATCGGGGTGCACATCTTGTGCGGCTGCGGGGAGGGGGGGAGGTCAGGGGGGTCAGGGGGCGAGGCCGGAGGGTCCCCCGCGGGCGGAGGTGGGGAGGGGCTGCCCCTGGGCTCCGGTGTGCAAATGGGGGCGAACCCTCCCTATGCCACTGACCACTGCGGCAGCCTCATGTGTGCGCCAGAGGATGGAGGGATTGGGGGTGGGGGCGTGACCTCTAGGTCTTCCTGTCCCTTCTGCTTTGGAGCAGTTCAATGATACAACGCACAATCACCCCAAACACGTTTGTTTCTGCCCTAATGTCCAGCCCCCCAAGTTGGCCCCCGATTCAGAAGTGGGGGTCCATGGAGGTCAGCCCCTCTCAGAGGGAGGGTGGCGGCCCCTCCTCAGGAGCGAGGGGGAGGGGGCCCCACAGGCACACCCCAGCCCACCGCCACCCAAAAAACATTTTTAAAAATCCCAATAAATAAAAGAAAGCCCCTGGGAATACAGACAGGCCTCCCAGGCCCCATCTCAGGATCGCTGAGCAGATTCCACCACTGAAAAGTTAGAGGCAGTAGGAAAAGACACTAAAAATGCTAGAATCCCCTACCAACGCTGAGAGAGAGAAAGGAGAAGGGAGAGAGTGTTTGCCAACTGTGGGGAAATGTTAATGTCATACAGAGCAGCCCCTCCACCCCCCTTCCCCAGCACAGGTCAGCGAGGGAGGGACCAGGAGCCCCGCACCTCCCTCCGGTGCAGAGCAGGTGCTGACCTGAGCGGGAAGCACGGCCTGGCCTGCTCACCTCTGTCCCTGCCCCTCCTCCCTGAGGTTTCCTTAGTCCTCACTCACCCTTCTCTTTGGGTCTTTCAGAAGAGGCTTTGGATGTTTCTGGGAAGGGAGCGGGAGCACACGGAGCTTTGGAGATCATATTCCCACAGGAGCAGGACGTGCCCTGGGCTCCCCTGGGGGCACCCGTCCCCGTGGAGACCCCCAGGGCTGCTCCCTGGTACTCTGCCTGGGGACCCCCTCCCCACTCCGGGTCCAGCTTGCCTTCCTTACCCGAACCAGGAAGCCTTCTGGGCAGGAGAACTGGTCATACCAGAGGGCCTTGTACATGATCAGGAGGCAGCCCATGATCGCCATGGCGAAGGCCAGCATACGGGCCGGGGGCATCTGCAGGGGAGGGGAGGAGAGGAACCCATGGGGGGGGGCAGTCTTCATGATGGGGCTGCCAACCCAGCTGAGACCCCCCCAACCCTGCTAGCCTGGGTGGGGGAGAATGGCTTTCCTTCTCAGAAACAATGGGGGGAAGAGGCAGGTTTTACTATTGAAACATGAAAGGTTTTAGAAATAGTACAGGGAAAAATGTGAAAAATCATAATTAGTAAAATTAATAGCCAAAACCGGTTTGGCTCAGTGGATAGAGCGTCAGCCTGCAGACTGAAGGGTCCTGGGTTCGATTCTGGTCAAGGGCATGTACCTTGGTTGCGGGCACATCCCCGGTAGGGAGTGTGCAGGAGGCAGCTGATCGATGTTTCTCTCTCATCAATGTTTCTAACTCTCTATCCCTCTCTCTTCCTCTCTGTAAAAAAAAAAAAAAAATTAAAAATTAAAAAAAATCAATAAAATATATTTTTAAAAAATTAATAATACTACAAAAAAAAAAAAAAAAAGGGTGGGAGCACCTAGCAGGAAACATGACTGTCTGTAGTATGTATAAAACCAACAAGCCCGGCCAGCATGGCTCAGTGGTTGAACGTCAACCTATGAACCAGGAGGTCACGTTTGATTCCTGGTCCGGGCACATGCCCAGGTTTGCAGGCTCCAACCCCAGGGTGGGGTTTGCAGGAGGTGGCCAATCAATGATTCTCTCATTGATATTTCAATAATCCCTTTCTCCCCCTCTTTCTTTCTCTCTAAAATCAATTAAAAATTTATTTTTTTTAGAAAAGAAAGGAAACCAACGAGTCACTAAGGAAGAGACAGATGGCCTGCTGGGAAGGCGGATGCACGCACTGCCCACAGTGGCTGGCTGTCAGCCACTGTACAGCGGGAGGGAGGATTGGGTCCCACTGGCACTGCTCAGCCCCAGATCCCTCAGCACCCTCACCCCTAAGCATCCAGCCTTCGTTCCCACCCAGCGTGCATCCTTGTCCAACTTCCCTGAGGGCAGCAGCCTGGGGAAGGGGGCCCAGCCCACCTGGCCCGGCCCTGGGTGCTCAGGCCTGTGGCTGCCTCAGCACCTCGATCCTCATCTGCCTCTCCACGGGACTGAGCCCCAGAAGCCCTGGGTGGGAAGGGTTCGGTTACCCCGCGTCCTTCGTCCAGGTTGGTGGAGGCCAGCTTCTGGGCCTCCAGGTCTGGGAACTTCTTCATCGGTTCTGTGGGGGGCAGTCCATATTCCGTCTGTGTCTTGATGACCACCTGTGCACAGAGATGACCCGGGAGGTCCCTGAGCTGGGAGGGCTAGGAAGGGGCGGGGCAGGGCTCAGCTGCCCAGCAGTGGGGTGGGTACTGACCATCTGGCAGGGCTGTCTAGTGGCTGGGATCCAGTGACTACCAGCGGAGGCCAAGGGAAAGTGGGGGCTGCACGTCTGCTGGGCCCGTGGCAGCCAGGAGGCCTGGCCAAACCATGGACGGAGCCGCTCTGTCTGCTGGCTGCCTTCAATTTTGAAGGTCCCACCTCTTCCCGCCAGGAAATTCCCCTTCAGTGGCCCCACAGCTTGCCTCCCCTTCCAGAGAGTCACCCTGATTTCTTCTTCTGGGTCCCAGAGCCTGAGGGCCTTTCCATAGAGGGCCCGGGCAGGTGCGGTCCCGTGCTCTGTGTCACCTAGGAGTAAGGCCTGAGCCTTCCCAAGGAGTCCACTGAGACCCGGGCCCAGCACTGAGGCAAATGCAGTGGAAGCCCAATCGCTGGAGAACTGCTCTCAGCCAATGCCTGCTGGTGGGGGGGCTGTCCTCATGGTCCCCAGCCCATAGCTGACAGATATGGGTTCAGATGGCCACCTCCTCACCCCCATTAGGACAAGCCTTGCTGTCACTCATACTCCGGAATTCACATGGGATCAGGCAGGGCTCTGCTGAGCTCTGCTTCTCACAGATTCCCGCTGAAAGCTCCCCCACTACCAGCCACTGTCCCCAGGACCCCGTCTGAGGCTTGACCCAAGACACAGAGTGTCCAGCAGGACAGGGTGGGAATGTTGCTTGCTGAGTCCCCGCTGGGCAGCACCCCGGGCTGGGTGCTGTTTTCTAAGCAATGTGTGAATCTTCAGTCACCCGGGACCAGGTTACCCCGTTTACAGATGAGGACAGGGTAGCACTGGAGGATGAGGGAGCTGGTTGCATGTGGCTCTAGGTTTCCACCCAGCCGGCCCTTCCTCTGCCTGCCCTCCTGCACCTTGGAGGAGGCCATATCTAAATAAATCTCTCTCTGCATCCCTTTGTTCCCAGCGCAGGCTGAGAAGGAGCCCCCCCCCCCCCCCCCCCCGCCGCCGCTGGCCCAGGCCACTCACCTGGTCAGAGTATGGTGGCTGGAGCTGGCTGACATCCAGGGGGCTGATCAGCGGGACGCTGTCCATGGCAACCCCATCCTGGTACCCGTAGTCTCTGCCGAACTTCCCGAAGCTGAAGCCCAGCTTCACCATGGTGGATGCTGGTCCTTGTCCTGTCCAGAGGCAAACACGGGGTCACTGCACACTGGCCGCCTAGCAGATGCCCACCCCAGCAGGCTCTGAACAGAGAGGGTTCAGAGAGAACTGGCCCAGTGCTCCTCATACCAGAGCTGGGGTGGGCCGTGAGTGGCCAGGCCAGACTCCCTTCCTGGCCCCCGGGCTCCCTCGGGGCCCTACAGCCCAGGGGTGGCACTTCAAACCAGTGACTGCCCAGACACACAAGGGCTACAGAGTCTTCCACTGGCTGACCTGCTAGAGGACAGTCTAAAGGCAGTGACTCCAGGCAACAGAAAACAATCCCTGATAGAAGCCTGGGGGTAGGGTGGCCAGACTTAGCAAATACAAATACAGAACATCTGAATTTCAGACAAAAAGGATTCTCTTACTCCTTCCCCTTCCCCTCCTCCCCCCTTCTTCCCTTCCTCCTCCCTCCTCTTCCTCCTCCTCCTCCTCCTTCTTCTTCTTTTCTTCTTCTTCTTCTTTCTCCTCCTCCTCCTCCTCCTCCTCCTCCTCCTCCTCCTCCTCCTCCTCCTTCTTCTTCTTCTTCTTCTTCTTCTTCTTCTTCTTCTTCTTCTTCTTCTTCAATATAAGAACATCCCATGCAATATAGGACATACTGATTCTAAAGTTATTTGTTGTCTATTTGAAATTCAAATTTAACTGGCCATCCTGTGTTTTAACTGGCAACCCTCCTAAAGATGCGAGAAGTAACAGGATCTACAGGAGAGGATGTCGGTAAGTAAACCCAAATGCCAGCTGGGAGGACAGAGGAGCAGTGGTGTACACAGCGCTGGGCCACCTGGAAAGCGGGCATCCCTGACAAGAGCGAGAGTCAGGAGGATGAGTGGGAGATGGAGACAAAGCCCCTTTGCCATGTCTCTAAATCATGGTGCGAGAGGGCTTAGCCATGCTGCAGGGCAGAGAAAAGGAAGAGGAGAGGCCTGGACAAGAGGAGGTCAAGCATGCATGACTAGAATATGAAATAGAAAATCCAAGAGAATCTACAGGTAAATTATGAAGATTGAAAAGTGAGTTCAGTGTGGCTCAGTGGTTGAGTGTAGACCTCAGTTCAATTCCCAGTTAGGGCACATGCCTCGGTTGTGGGCTCAATCTTCAGCAGGGGGAGTGCAGGAGGCAGTCGATTGATGTCACATCTATGTTTCTATCTCTCCCCTTCTCTCTAAAATCAATATAAATATATATATTTTTAAAAAGAACTCAGCAAGTTTATGGACTTATGGTATTCAAAATCAATTATATTTTTATATATCAGTGACAAAAATTTTAAAAAGCTTTTTTTGAAAGACTCCTTAAACAGTATCAGAAATAGCAAATGCTCAGGAATAGGTCTAACAGGAGATGAGAAGAATCTCCATGTAGAAAACCATCAGCCCAAGGAGCAAAGGGTCAAAGGTACTATTTCTGTTCAAGGGGAAGTGTATTGGTTGCAAGTTTGATCTCCATCTCGGGTCAGGGCTTATTTGGGAGGCAACCAATCGATTTCTCTCACACATTGATGTTTCTCTCTCTCTCTCTCTCCCTCCCTCCCTTACACTTTCCCTAAAAAAAAAATCAGTGGAAAAATATCATTGGGTGAGGTTAACAACACAAAAAGATGTATATGTATATGTGGAATCAATAAATCCTAATAATATTTCAACAGAATTTGTGTGTATGACCTTGTAATATGACCTTGTAATTTCATACGGAAGTCAGAGGAACAAGAATACACCTGACTTCTTGAGAAGGACGAGGGGAATTCATGCCCGGTGTCCAGCTTATTACACAGCAGTGGGACTAAGCTGCTCGGTGTTGATGCAGTAGACAAAGACCTACTTGACACACCTTACACATTCAGACCACAGATTTATGAGAGATGTCTCTGCAAAGCAAGGAGGATGACTACTTTTTGATAAACACACACCCATATGGAAACAATGACCCCAGCCCCTACCTCACACCACACATAGAAGCCTACTCTCAGTAAACCAGCCTATGTTGGAAAAGTGTCTTTAAGATAATGCAGAATATCCTCCTGGTCTCAGGGATAGAACAAGTTTTTCAATGTGATAAATAAGTACTAACCATAAGGAGACATTGATAAAAGGACTACCTTAAAATAAAATAAAATAAAAACTTCTGCTCATCAAAGCGTAGCCTTTAGCCCTGCTGGTGTGGCTCAGTGGTTGAGCATCGACCTATGAACCAGTAGGTCATGGTTCGATTCCTGGTCAGGGCACATGCCCAGGCTGCAGGCTCAATCGCCAGTAGGAGGCAGCCGATCGATAATTCTCTCTCATCATTGATATTTCTCTCTCTCCTCCCTTCCTCTGAAATCAATAAAAATATATTTAAGAACAAACACAAAAACAGGAGACATAGCCTTCAAAAAATGGAAACAGAAACCAAGAAGGTGTTTGCACCCCAAAAATGACAAAGGGCTTATTGTGGGTTTAACAAGCTCTGGGCACCTGTGCATGTGGCCCTGATTGGAAATAAGGTCTTTACAGACGTTCTAAGGCTCAGATGAGGTCACACTGGCTTACTGATGTCCTTCCTTATAAGAAGCGGGAGTTTGGACACAGACACACGGGGAGGGGGCCAGTGAAGAAGGAGGCAGAATTGGAGTGATGGGCCTCAGCCATGGGCCACCAGGGCCACCAGAAGCTGGAAGAGGCAGGGAAAGCGCTTCCCCTGGAACCTCAAAGAGAGCATGCCAACACCTTGATTTCCCACGTTTGGCCTCCAGAGCCCTGAAAGAATCAATGTCTGTTGTTTCCAGACACCCAATCGTAGTAATTTATCACTAAAGCTCAAGGAAGCCAACGGCCTCTGAACATCACCTTTCCCTCTCTATTGTCTGCACCCCCTCCCCCCCCCACCTGCAAAGATTTCTGTGAATCTCAACCCCCAACCTCCTGTCCTAGGGTGACCTCACCACCCCCAGCCCTCTCCTTGTAACAGCCCCACCAGCGCTGGTTCCCACCAGGTGACCACTGTCTGCCCCTGTGAGTTCCAGGTGTGGGCAGGCTGGGCAGGAACACAGGAGGCGGCCTGTCCAGGCGGAGAGGCGGAGAGATGCCAGGTGTGTGTATTGGGGATGGGGGTGGGGTTGGGGGTGGAGGTGGGAGCAGTCAGGAACCACCACTGCAAAGCAGACTGGGAGCAGCGGGCTGGGCAGAGAGCCCCCATCATGGACTCGGCGCTCCCCGGAGGCCTAGGGCCCTTCCTGGCGGGGAGGGGGGTGAGCCTAGCTCAGGGCCCTTACTGATCCTCAAAGCGCCCACAACACCCACCCCAGGCTAGGGGCGGGGCGCTTCCAGAGGAGGGGCGGGGCCGGCCGAGGCTCAGCCCGGAGGACGCGGGGGCACCTGGGCATCTGGCCCAGGCGGCGGGCATTCTCCAAGCGGCCCTGTCTGCGCTCAGGGCGCAGAGGTGGCCACGCAGCCATCAGAGTGACTAGGAAGAGGCCCAGCGAGGGAGACATGGAACTCCCGCCCAAAGACCGCGGGGGATGCAGAGGAGGGGGCGGCCATGCCCAGGGCTGGGGGGAGGGAGGGGTAGGCCCCCCGGGAAGGAGATGGAGGCTGAGACTGAGCGGGGTCCGGGTCAGGTTGGTGCCCATGCCCCTGGAGGCGAGGGTCCCCCCCCTCCCCAGGAGCTCCGCTTCTGGGTCCGTCTCCTCTGAGCCAAGCGTAAGGTCCAGCGCAGCTTGAGGTCCAGGTTACATCATCGCGGTTTCCACGGCAACGAGATGAGCTTTGCTGCCTGGTCTTCAGGGGGAGAGGCTGTGGGGCCCTTTGGACCATCGGCATCAGGTTCCGGCCCCCGCGCCCCCGGGCAGAATGCTGGGGGAGGGGGAGCTGGCTGCGTGTAGGTACCCCCCCCCCCACGCCTTCCTTCGCTGCCACGGGACCTATGGGCAGGCGGGCTGGGCGCATTCACAGGACAGACACAGACCCTCAGGATGGGGGAGGGACTGTCTCTATCCTCCCACCCGCTCCTTCCACGCGCGGTAACTGTGTCTTCTCCGGCGGGGCGTCTGCTCCCGCCCCCCCCCCCCCGTTGGCTCCTGGGAGGATGGGGGGCCGGGGGTCGGGGGTCGGGGGGTGGTGCAGCCTCTTCTCCGAGGCTTGGGAGGGGGAATGGGATGAGCGGGTCTGTGCTGATAGTGATAGGGGGCCACGGACTCAGGTGGAAGCCCACGAAGCTCGGATGAGGTCCAGCCACAGACTGGCTTTCGCACCCCCCCCCACCCCCCATGGATGCTGCGTCAGGAGAGGCGCGCGCCCTGGGCACGGGCACAGCGCTCGGCGCACTCGGCAACTGCGTAGTGAGGGGCCTCGATCTCTGCTGGAACCCACAGCCGCCCCCCCACCCCGCCCAGCCGCCCCCCCCCCGCCCAGCCCCCACCCCCAGGCGCCCTCCCGCCCCTCGCCCTCAGGCCGGGCGTGAGTGTGGCTCCCGCTTCCAGGCCCGGCGGGGAGGGGTGCGGGGGGGGGGGGACACCCAGGGCTGCACCCGGCGGCCTGGGCTTCCCACGCACCAGCCCGTCACCTGTGGCCCCGCATCCCGAGGCTGCTGCGGCCCGGGGCTCGGAGCCAGGCCCTCTCCCCGCTCCTGGCCCCGCGGCCCCCCGCCCCCACCCCTCCGGGAGCCAGCATCTCTCCGCGCTGTGGCGTGATGCTCCTGTCACCCCTTCCTCCCCTCTCCCCACCCCCCAGGCAGAGCTGGGGTCCTGGACCCCCACCCCCCATCTCAGGATGGCCGCGCCGCTGACAGACTGCGGGGCTGGAGCGGCTCGGGGAGGGGCTGCCGTCGCCATGGCGGGGCTGATGGCCAGCGGTCCTGACCCACCGTCCGCCGAGGACGCGGGGTGTGTGCGGGCCGGTCCCCGCAGCATCGCCCCGCCGGCCCCCGCCCTGCAGACCCCACAGGAGGACCCCGGTCCGCCCCAGGCTCCCTCCACACCC